GTTAATTGAATAGATAGATTTGAATAGACTGTCGATTTCATTTGGATAATTTTACTATTTATTTATAAATAATTATTATTTATATATAATAATATACATAAAATAGTAGTTCTTATTATTATGTATAAAATATAAATTATTATATATTGATGATCTCAATTATCTAATTAGCATATTTTCGACAGAATATTATATTGTACAACGCCCATATTATCTTATTCTTCTTTATGTATACTTACATTATAGAATCGTGAAATAAGGTATCCTATAAAGTGTAAGCTTCTGCTTTTTAATTTGATGCTGCTAATATAAGTAAATCCTGTCTGACACTAACGTTCAGAAAGTTTGAGAACCTCTGATGTTGGAGGAAGCGAAGACTATGTAAGCGCATCAAATGAGAATTACCCGTTTGCGCCGTGTCCTCGAATACGGAGGCTATACATATACAGATCGCACTACGGACACTCGGGAACCGTCTTAGATTGCGTGCCAATGCTGCTGAATAATTTTCGTCCTTCATCATATGTGGTCGCGTCCAATCGCAGTCCTGCCGGAGCACGACACGATACGCGAGGCGCGAGTAAAGGAAACGTCGCGTCGTTTCCTCGCGGAGTTACACATCGAAGGTAATAAAACGCGGTGGTAATTACTTGGCCAGACAATCATTAATCTTCATCGTTGTATCGACCGCGTCGGTAAGTTGCCTCTCCTGCGACGCCCCATCGCTGTTAATGAAACAGCGTGATATACCCAAACCGGGATTTTCCAAGATGGAAGTCTGTACGTTTTTTATAAAAAAAATTTTTTTACATTGCTATATAAAACGCGAATAAAAATATTTATTGTAAAAAAACATTTCTTCAATTCAATGTATTAATTTCTTCATTTCTCCAATTCAATTTCTTCATCTCTTCACGATATCTACTTCATAATTTTTAAGAAAGATTCATCTCCTTAACGATCTAAAGAGATCGTCATTAAGATGTATACGCGGTGCAGCTCGTGTATACAGAACTTCTGCTAAATTGGATTAAGACGTTAAGCGCGCCAATGGAACAGCCGCGAATGGAACAGGTTCGCTAAACCGAGATCCTCATAATACCGTGAAAGCCTTTAGCTTTTCTCTCCCCTCGGTGGATATCCACCTATTTGAGAACCGTCAGTAGGCTCGCGACGCATTCACGACAGAAATAAATACGGAGTGAAAAGGGCTCGGGCTCCTTTTCACGAAAGGATATAATTGCCAGAAAAATAAACGATCGCAATGTCTGTTTGCTCACATCTTTCTCCATCGCCTTCCCGCGACAGCAGCGAGGCAGAACTTAGAGTTACCCTCTCGCGCCAGCTACATCCCCCATTCGGTCCATCCTCGTCCGCTTTTATCTCCTCTTTGGCTACCTCCTGTGCATGCTTCACCTACACACCACCACCGTGTCATCGTCATCGTCCTTTCGATCCCTCGCCGTTCATTTCTCGCATTTCTTTTCCGTGCCTGTCGATTCCCAACCACCGTCGTGACTTCGTGGAAAAGCTTATTCGAGTCGTGGGTCAACGAATTCGCAATTACGATCTTTCACGTCGACGTGACTACCTACTCTCACGTCGACTTTGAAATCCTGGCCCCCGTTCCGTCCCCGTCGCGTACGTACAACCGCATCTGCTCCTCGTCTTGCACCGCGATGTAGTTTCTTCGGATTTTCTTAGTAAATTTATCACGAAAGCCGATAAAGCGAGACGTTCAAATGTTGATATTCGTTTAATAATAAAAGATGCAATATACGTAAACGAAAACGATCGATAACGTGACATGAAAGTGGATTTTGCTTATTTATTTCCTTAATCTTCGAAATGAAAGTACGACGTTTGTCACTTTTGCTTTAAAATGCCTACATAATTGATATGCATAGAATTTACGACTCGCAAACTGTAACACGTTTCTACGTTCTGCTGAAATAAATTATGCATTGGCATCAGATTGATTGGCATCAATAGAAATGTAAAATTATATTTTTCATGCATTATTCAATTTTTGAATCACATTCTGAAATCTCTCTCTCCCTCTCTCTAGAAGATAATTTAAAAATATACATATATGTGATGATACATATACGAAGATATTTTGATCCGGCGATCATGTATCGGCTAAAGCATAGCTTGTTTCCGGAATAAGTGCTTTGCACGTTCATCACGTAAGCTTTTCATTCGTGCAATCTTTATTCGTACTCTGACACTTCGAAACGTAGCCGGGAAAAATCCCGGTCTCGATCAAATCGCAAATTGGGTTCACGTTTCAGTGACCGATGAGCAGAAAACGTCCTCGCGGATATAAATGCGCAAGCGCGCCCATATCCACACATGCAAGAGATATCGAAATTCGAAGAAGGAAAAAAGCGATGAGCTTGTGCGCCATCATACACACTTATGGTTCTTTAATACGCTCTGAGATACGGCGACAATGCGATGTAAAGACAATGCGACATATCTCTTCAAAAGCTTCGTCAGCGCCGACGCCCTCTCTTATTTTTGCACGTCTTTCATCTGCATCACGCGTGATGCAAGAGCGTCCGTCCGTTCATAAACGTCGAATATTCACCTCGTGTAAATATTAAATGTCTCCCTCTTAAAAACAATGGCGTGTATAGTGCGAAAAGCTGCTGGAAAATCGTGGAATTGGTAAAGATGGGAGCACGTATAGTATTACAAATAAAATATCACGATATATCGCCAGTAAATATTTTTCCGGTCACGCGTACAGAAAGATGCGATGACTCGACGCCAATGATTCCGCGTTGGGAAGGGTAGCATTAAATGCAACAACCGTATATATATACGCGCGACGATTCGTGCATTATTCGAAAAGAATGAACGCGCAAATAAATGTGCGCGAGCACGCGCGCATACAGACGCGCGTGCGGAAACGACGATGTGGAGTACTGTTCGGCTTTTGCTCTTTGAAAGGCAAGCAAACACGTGGCTACGTGCCCGCCGTCCTTCTTGACAACGTGCAAGAATTTATGCATTCTGGCGCAGTCCGGTAAAGAGGATGAACGGAGGAAAATTTTTGACTTTGTCCTTCCATTCAAAATTTTCTAATATTAGATGAAGTAATTACATTATTTTATATTCGACGATTTTATTTATTTCAGAAAGATAGAGAGAGGGAGGGAAGACGATGAGAAGAATATAAATTTAGGTGATAAGGATACAGATTAATATTTCATAACATAAACTAGCAAATGTTAGAGTTTATTTGAGACCATATAGTGATATCTGAAGTAATTCAATGAGTTGAAATCGACTCTAATCTTAGAATTTTGCTATCATGTCAAGTATTAAAGAGAAAATGGAACAAAATAATCGAATTAACAATTTTAACTATGTTTATATATTTATTGCAAACAAAGTGAATCTTTCTATTTATTTTTACTTACAGTATCTACCAGTTAACTATTTCAAAGCATGTTTTTTCGTTTCTGTACGTTTTTGATTGATCTATGAAAGTTTGAAATTAAAGAACTTTCATCACTCGTAGTATAGAAATAGTCAGAAATCAAGAGAAACTTTGCACATTTTTATGGAATAAAAGTTTTGAAACAGTGATACAAAAGATTATATTTTTAGATGTTATGTGCAAAATAACTCTTCCGACTTTATTTCTAAATACTCCATTTCCATTTGACGAAACTCTACTGTTTTGCAGTAATTTAATTTCGACCTCTTTCTCAATTGCATAGATACATCAGAATCCAAACCACGTCAATCGTATTTTAAACCGCGTTGCCCCTTAGGTCGCGCCGGTCTAAATAATTCATTCCATGAATTATTTCTGTTCCTATTCCCGACTCGCAACGAAAATCAATCTCTTTGATCGCTGTACCCGTCGCGGCACTTTGTCCCGCGCTACGTATCCCTTCGATCATCTCCTAATCGTGCAACATTGCTTATTTCAACAGTCCAACCTCCGCATCTCTCCGTAGATTCGCTTTGTATAAAAACAAAACAAATACTCGTCTTGTTCAACTAGTGCATGACAACAGCGAACATCATATTCTCGGCGAAGCGTTTTGTTTTCCAAATAACCGATGGTCTGCCAACGGGCGTTTATTTTACTTGGATATATCGAGGAAAACCTGCATTATATGTAAACGTAGCTTTCAACGTTCGAGAACGGATTATAGAAGCTCGCGTACGCTGCTTCTTAATCCGGGGATTTCGACTGAAATATTTGGTAGATGCTATCGGGCAGTGATGCGACCGTTCGCTCCAGCGTGCATTTAATCCCGGAGCGAGCATGGTCCCGAATCGATTCGAAATCTAGGTCGAATTCGGCTTAGTGGAATTGATTTCTCCGGTTTCTCGGTTGCGAACAATGTATACGTCGTGGGGTTTAGACCGGCTTCGCGAATCAGGTCGTTCCGCCCGCTTCAACGAGACAAAAGATAAAATTCTATCCGCGGCGCTTACCAACCAACAAATCGAATAATCGTTTCAACATCGAGTTTAATCCACGGGCAAATCCAGATCGGAGCTATCGCTTGACCTGAGGCGGCCCCGCCACGCGAAGAAGAGAGAGGAAAATATTGATTTCTAAACAGTTACGATACAACGTATAACAAGCACTTGGATACAATTTTATTTGCTAAATTGCAAAAGTATATCTATTGTACGCTGTAAAACAGCGATAATGTTCTATAGAATACTCCAGTCATAATCGCGTAAAATCATAAAATCAATTCGTATTTTAACGATCCATCTCGCATCATTCGTTAATTCAGCGTTGTTGAAATTTTAACCGCCACCTAGTTAAGAGCCACGTGATTTCTCATCAGTGTACTTGATAAAAATTAAGTGGACGAAAAACAATATAAGTTAGTCGAGCTAAATTAATCGCGCTTAACCGCTTCTCATTGACCGCACGACGCGATCGTTAAGAGACCGCCGCGCCGCAACAAAATCGGCGTTACAATGTTAAAATGAGCGAATACGCCTTTCATTTTCAGGGTGCAGCGTGAAATTTGCGCTCGGTCAGCAGGGCCCGGTCTTCATCCTGGAGCCGCCGAGCACCCTAGTCTTTTCAAATACCACGGGCTCCCAATTAGGCTGCTCCGCACACGGCAGCCCGACGCCGCATGTCACGTGGATTACCAGCCCGGATCAGAGATCGGTTACAGCAGTTCCGGGGCTCAGGTAAATCACGTTTCGTAAATCACGTTTCTGAATGTCCAACCGCTTCGACCGATCACGTTCGTGGTCATGGCTCACGTTTGCATAAATTTGTCAGGACACTATTCGTTTAAATAAAACCGTAGTACCGCCCTTAAACGTACGCGAAGTGAAAGAACTTGTTTTAAAATCGAGTGTGAAATCCGCCTTATACTTTTCTCGCGGATCTACGCGTCTCTTTTTCTAGCAGTCCCTTATGCGAATCAACACAGAGCTCCTTTCATATTCTTTCAGGCAACTTCTGGGCAACGGTACGCTATACTTTCCGCCGTTCCTGGCTCAGGATTTCAGAGCCGAGGTTCACAATGCCCGATACAGATGCCGAGCGACCAGCTCCGTCGGGACCGTACTTTCACGCGAGGTCACTCTCCGCGCTGGTAAGTTGTCTTATCCACGTCTTATCCTTTCCGAAAGTGAAAGCATAGTCTTGTAGACTTACGTGGAAACTCATCCGGTCAAAAGATTTCAAAATGTTTTATCATACCGGCGGAAATGGCTTGCCGACTCTAAGTGGAAAATGTGGTCGCGCGAATAAGATTCAAACTACCGTGCCACGCTACCGTGTGGATCGACAGTCCGCCAATGTCGCCGATACACACGATAACCATTATTTATCGAAGAAACGTCATTCGCCACGTACGAGATTCGTTGCAATAACGGACTGGCAGTACCGAACATCCCATTACGTCGGAGTGCTACTGCGAGTGCGGAGCCAACACCTCGCATTTTCAACCGAGAGGCTTCGCGCTATCCAAGTAAATACCGATGGGGAAACGGTTGAAAGCCGTTAAATTGTATCGGAGGAAGTTCGATTCGAGTACGTGGGCGAGTCTTCGCCGTTCCGAAAGACCCGTGGAGGGACAAAACTTTGTCCGGGCGGAGCTACGTGAGCCATCATTTAAATGGCTGATTCTAAGCCGATCATTACTACTGGCGGCGGCCGCGCTGAATTCGCCAGCATCCGCCATACATACTGCACGAATCCAATTGGAAAAGAATTCTTCTTTCGTTTTCATTTACTTTTGATCTGAATGACTATCGAGTATACCGGTAATAACATTGTTCAACAAAAAAATGCACAAGAAGGAAGATAATCTGTCGTTTCCCGTAGTTTTTGAACACTGAATACGACCTCGTTTACCAAATTGCTCTATCACGTTAAAATTTTCAGAAATTTGCGAGTTATAAAAAAGTTATAAAAGTTGTAAAAAAAGGGCTATTTTAGGACACTTTGGCATATTATAACTATGATATGTGACGTGTTGGAAAATTGCATTGCAATCAAATGTATGAAATTAAATATGATGTTAACTTTTATTTTTTGAAACTTTCATTTATTCTGTCAATTATATAGGTAGAAAAATATTTAATGTAGGATCTATCAATATCATAAAATCAAAGTCACAACTTTGACGCTATAAACCATATATTAATTATAAAAATATTTTCCTGGAAATGAGAAATCACAGAAAAAAATATAAAAAAATTAGTAATACTCGTAACTGATTTTTGCGTAATATTATTTAAATGATATTTACGTTTTATAGCAGTCTTTCAAATATTGTTTTGATGATAAAAACAAAAGATAAATCGAATAAATCAAATCGCGAAATAATAAATGTATAATATTTACTGACTGCAAAAAAAGCGATGTGCTTATTCGCTTTTTAACCGGTGCATGTAACCTTTTAAATGGGTAAACATTGATCGCTTTCACGAAGCTCTAAGCTTACGTTGCACTTAGGTTGCTTGCTTTCTCAACGGCGTTTTCGTGACGTGTTTTTAACCCTTCAAGTAAAGGCAAAAGTGTCGTCGATTTTGCAAAAATGACTGCTACTATGTAAACCGCAAGAAAAAAGTTTAACATAAAAAATTCAAGCCAAATTACTAATTTTAAAACACGTTTTGGATCTACCTGTCGTCAAGTTAAGACAAAAGAATGAAGTCGTCACATGATATACGACATTCTTGCGCGAAATATCGATAATCTTATAAAACCCAAGAATCCCGCATGTCAAACAATGTGTTTCACCGAGTATTTCAATATACTTTGCGCTCGTTTGTAACAAAACTGGCACGCTTGTCGCATTTCACGGTACATACAAATTCGAAGAAATTGCGAGAATCCAAATACTCTTTGATGCCGGTCCAAAGACGGCTGTCTCTCCTTTCAAAGCCGCTTCACGTGAAGCGACATGGAATGCGCGCTCCAGCCGTCGGAAAACTTTCGTCGGAAAGTTTATCAGGATGATTCGTCTAAAACGGGAAGAAAAATTCGCTTCGCCGCTAGTGGTTTCGGAAACTTTTCCCCAAAGTCACTGGACGATGAAAGAACGTCCCAATCGATACCTCTTTGCCGCGCTGTCCTTGTCCCGCGCGAACCGTCCGCCGATATAAAGCTTCTATCTACTCCCACCAACGAACGCTTTCGTTAAAAGTTCACAGTCCGCCCCGGAGTATAGGCATAAATAATCAAGTCATTCTGCTCGTGCTTTTCGCGAAAACAAGCTTAATATGGTTCCAAAATGATATATGAAGGTCTTTCAAGCATAAATCGGAATTGTTTTTCCAGAATCTCGTTTCTTCGAGAATAACAAAAATTAATAAATTCAAAATTATTTTACCGCGCTGATACAACTTCTCTTTTTTTTCCATTAATATCAAAAGGTGAAGAAGAAAAAACGCTTCCTAACTACGAACACTATATAATTATCAATTTTTCCGATGTAAGTAAAAAATGAAGTTTAACTAAATATTTAAATCAAATGTAATGTAATGATGAATTAATATATGACGAGTTTATTGTATCAGAAGAATCTGAAATGGTAATAGCAAATGTATGACGATAGCGCGCCATGATTTAGCATAATAATAGAAGATAGAGCAGTTAAAAATTAATAACTATTCGCATGTAATCGTACGACATTCATTAACGCAACATGCAAGTTATCTAACAAAGATCCCCGGAGAACTTCTCGTTTCACTTTATTTCCTTCTATACGCGAGAACATCGGCCAAGGGGATCTTCTAGCGGTGCTTCTTCTGAAACGAGCGAGCCAAAAAGGAACGGTTCACTTATCTAAAATGACATCGGCCGTCCCCACGTGCTCGCCAAAGAACTTATTCTGCAAGGGAGGGAGATAGAGTCATTGTCGAAATTCCCTTTTGTAAGGATCGCGTTTGCCGACGAGCTTGAGAATTCGGTATCAACATGTCCAGTCTTCGTTCTCTTCGGGCGAGAAGAACACTCCCGAAGGATCGAATAGAGAACACAGCGATGGGAATATTCATTATCCTACGTTAAACCGTCAGCGGTCCCGGTAGTACGGAGAATAATGTCTGAAGAGCTGTCGCGTTTTAAAAATTTAAAAGGGGGTGTATCGCGTTGATTTAACCTTTAGCGGGGGAGAATAATCGTCGCTCGCCAAGAGCTGCTCCCGTTTAATCTTAATTTTTTTCAAATGATTTCATTACGGAAGGTGTACGAGAACCGTACGTAACGATCGTGGAATCTTATATTTCACATGGTTTCCCGCGCGATTTTCCCGTAGCGAAAAATAGCTCGAGGGGTATTTAACGTCGGCAAAATAAAGTATCTCGACGAATTTAACCATGGAAACATGAATAAATAATCGTTCCATATTATTATTTATGCGATAAATGCAAATTGGCACTTAATTAAAAACTAAAAGGTTATATTAAATTATAAATTCGTTTCATTGATTAAAAATATATTTAAATTGGAGAGAAATGTAGTATGAGTGTGCCGCGAAGCGCGATGGGCGCTGCACGTGCATGCGTGCATAAGGAATTAAACAATCGCGCGCGCACTGCATCGTATCGTACATTCTAATCCCTTGAAATTTGTATACTGGATATTTATTCGGCCGTGTTACGCGACGAAACCGTATTTCTCCATACACGTGCATGCCGAGTATGGATGCTATAGGAAAGAATTATTGCCCACCGCACGGTGAGAGATCACCCGTTTCCGCAGACGGACGATTCTCTAGCGTACCGCTCTTATTCTTCTTTATTTTCTTCATTTTATCAACGGGGAAGTGCGCGACTAGAAAAAGAACGTAACCACATTAGCAACCCGCCACTAGTTCTCGAGAAATGGTCTCGGGCAGAAAAAGGTCCACCCTTTCGGACGACAAATGCTTGTATATGTGTAATTCCAGCAAAACGGTCGACGGTTTTAATCACGCACAAAGCACGTTTTACGTTCCTAAGAGGAATGTACACAAGAAATATCTCGCGGCACGACGATAAGATACGAAACTTATCAAAATACGCGCGCGGGACTTTAAATTAAGGTAATTAAAGAATTATCTTAATCGATCAGCTTAATTGCAATGCAATTTCCAGCGAAACAAAGAATTTAGATAAGTTTATTCGTTTTTAGTCTTCTCTATCTATTCGACTATCTAATGTGTATTTGCGTCGTTTTCTAACCGGTTCTTAGCTGGTCGCGATATAAGTGGCAATATATCTGTCCCGTCCCGGCGTAAAATCCATCCTCGGAAAATTCGATTTAAAAAATCTACCGTCTCTTCAGAGAGAACCCTGTACAAGCACAAGGGTTTAGCAAAACACGCTCGTTGCGGCGATGCATCGATACGCCACGGTGTGCACGGCACATTTTCACGCCGCATCAGCGCGTAATGGGCGGTAAGCGCGCAGAGCGCGCGGTATCAGAGATCCGGCGTGAGCGATCTCACACAAGGGAGACGAGGGAAGGGATCGAGGGAGGAGGAAGGACGAATCCGTCCGTGAAGAGAGGAAGAAAGTTAATTTCAACGATTTCTAGGAATTCGTGGAAATATCGTTGCCCGCCTGGCTGGAGATCCGCGCATATTGGCTTTATTTGCACATTTCATTTCACCCCGTTCTATCTCTCTCTATCTCTCTCTCTCCCTTTCGCTCGCTCGTTTACTCGTGCCTGTGCTATTTCTCTCGTATCCTCTCACTGGCGCATCTCAATTTTATCGTCACGTACCATGTCCCCTTCCCGCATACCTGGTCCCGTCCTACCCTTTCCTCCATCTTCCGATTTACACAAACCGAGGGGTCTAACCGAAGGGAGGGGAAGCGTAGGGCGCCTGGCGTCGGGACACCATCCGAGAAGCCCCCAATTTCCGACGCCCCGGACGGCGAGAAGGGTGGAACGACACGACCCGTCTCGTCACTAGGCGAACGGCAGTTCCTCCGATTCACAACCTCTCTTGGCTTTTCTCGTTTCGCGTCTTCTTCCCGGTGCACATTCCTTGGCTCCGTTCGCCGAGCTTTTTAAGCTCTCCCTTCACCTTCCCCTCCGTCCTGCTGCCTCGCTCTCTCTATACTTCGCGAGCTTTCGAGGAAATCGCGCGCGTTACTTCGACACGAATGTTTACGGACGAATCCAGGGGGTGTCTCGACGGCACTTGAAAAACGTGAATTTTTCAGTAACCTTAGCGGCACGTAAATCTTGGGAATTGGTCACGTGTTTGGGCCGATGCGGCTCAAAAGTATTTTTCATGATAACTGAATAATAATGTAAGACATATTTATTTTTTGTAAACGTTTCATAATGTAGAGTGTATTGAGCATGGCAGTATTAAAAGTGGCGGTCATGTGTCTTTTAAATTGAAAGATACACTAATAGATTAAATTCCATTTAAAATCGGTCAAAACAGAGAGCTAATATGTGTTTCAAGGTAACGAAAGCGATGGAGACGTAATAATGCGTTTTGAGTTACCGTACTCACTTAAGCGATTACACGGTTAATATAACTAAAGATGCAAATGCAGGAAATTAATCGCACACTTTGTGCCAACATTCATTATAGCGGAGCGTGTGAGTAGAATACGTGTGTATACGCGCGAGCAGGTGTGTCTCCGGAGAATGGAATATGCGACCTGAGCGCTGTTCCCAGCGTCACTGTTATACATATTGATGTATGAGTGTGTACTTAGATTGAGGGTGATTAGATTTGGAGAGCGAGCTCGTCTCGTACCTCAGCATCTTGTATCTTAACCGCGAATGAAATTCGCAATTGTATCGAATAAGATACGTAAGACAATTTGATTGATCGGAAGACACAAATTGATTGGATGTTACATATAGCGATAAAAAATTCTTCCGTCTAAAATTTCGCCGTCGGAAAACGAACTTAATAAATGTTTTCTTACACACGTATATAGGAATATAAAATATTTTTCATACATTTTTGATATATCACCTCTTGCTAATACAGGCGATTCAGGTGCTTGAAATTTTACGCTCGTAAATTAACGTGTAACGGAATAAGAGGAGTGAATCGCATTATAACGCAGCCATTGTCCATGGACTTGAAATAAGTTTGATCGTTCATTATGCATGCTTCTACTTCCCTATGTCTTATTTTCCACTTTCTGCCTCTGTGGTAACTTCTTAATAATCATCCATCTTCCGCTTTCAACGCTATGTCACTTCGGGCCGCTTTAGTTTTCCTACCCTTTTTCTCCGACTTTCTGTTATATACGAATATAACAGAATTTTATTACAGAGGATGTCTCGCGTCAAATGTAATTGATATGACTCGCAGATCCTCTTCAATCAATGTTAAATCAATTTTCCTTATCGAAAACTGACGGTAATGGTATAATATTCCTAATTTTAAGATTATTGAGCTATATATCAATAATTAAATTTTAAGAACTACGGTTTTGTATTCCATTTAAAATTATGAAGAATAAACTGTTAATATCTATTAGCAGCTCGAAAGCTTAGTTTTAAAAGATTTGATAGAGGAATATCAAGATTAAAAATCGCACTTTTTTTCTTATAAATTGACTAATTGATAGAAATTTTGGGAAACGTTTCGCATAAATGTAAATTTTTTGTAGTAATTAATTCTATTAAATTAAATGTATTGTTTGAACAATTTGATCTGTTACTTACATTGCAGTATTGACGGTACCCGGATACGACGTCAGGGTAAACAGACAACCCGTCATGGAAGGATGCAACGCAGTGTTGTCTTGTACAGCTCGGGAAGATGTTAAGGAACATCTCACTGTAACCTCCTGGTTTCGTGACGATGCCATTCTCTTACCTGGAAACACAGACACCGGTGAGTAACTGCGCGTCGAAATATTTGCTATTTTACTTGATCTAAGGTAGCGCGCGTTGACGCTAAACTTTCTCGAGATTAGCTCTTATGTTCGAGTATCGACAACACACTCGGAATACCATGCGTATCACGTATCCGTCGTTAATTTTTCGCTTTGAACATATTGTCGAGAAAAACAAATTCGAATTAACTAATTCAACGCCTAGCCATCAGTTTTTTATCGATATGCACAGAGATGCGAGTGGATATGAAGTTTGCGTGTCGAAATTAGTTTACGAACGTAAACGTGTCAATCGTGGCGTTCGCCGTAGTTAAAGAGAATAAAAAAAAATCTGATAGGGAAATGCACACACGTTCAGGATAAACGCATATAAATGTAGAGGTAAAAGGATATATCCGAAGTGCAATTCACACCCCCTCATCGCTCATAATCCCTCATACATAATAATTTATAATCATAGAGTCGCATTACTTAAGGGATTATTGCAATTTTTATGAATTACGATAAATTTCACAAGAAAAGGGCACATAACTCGAAAAGGATTAAATTAACGCAATTATGACCGTTAGCGGAGCGAGTGACATACAGGGAGAAAGAGAGAGAGAGTGTGCAAAATGCTTGATCTCTTGGATGAGCATCCGGTATGCGCGCGAGTCCACAGATTCGCACACATATACTCGCACCACGTACCACTCGGGCTACACACGTACGTGCGCTAACTCGGCGATTTAGATCGTCCTGTACACGCTCAAGCATTCATGTCCCATACATATTTATGCCGCTCGGTTGCACGTAACCGGTAGCGGTGTGCGCGTAACTGTACGTACGCGTGTGCCGTTGGAATATCATGGGAAGCATCGCGTCATGTCGGGGCTTGATACGTTTGTTTCGTAACTAGGCGGCTAACATTGCGTCGTCCGCATATATACGAAAGCACCATCTGCACATCCGGCCGGGGGTGCGGTTACGTGTCTCCCGGCGCTGTATACGTCGACGTGTGTGTGTGTGCTCTCCCGCGGTTATCGTCGCACGCGTGCGAAGTGCGGACGCGCGCCGTCGCGAGAACAGTCCGTTATCTTTATCCGAAGACGACGTCGTCGATTCCGCCGTCCGTCAACCGACGTCGCGCCAGTGTCGGAAGATAGAGAGGAATGAAGCGTCAGGCGTATACACATATAGACACGTCCTCGTGACGAAACCGAATTGATACAATAGCTGTCCCCCGAAACGAAGATACCATGCATATTCTGTCGATACCGGAAGAAAATTTTTTTTCTTTTTCTCTTCTTCTCACATTGTAACGGAATTAATTAATGCCACTCAACGAAACGAAACAAAATTAATGTTTAGCATGTCGATCTATCTATTCTAAAATTAGCATTCTTAAACTCAAATATTTGTTCGGAATTTATTTCTCTACTGTAACATAGAATTTGTAGAAAATATCTGATTCGCAAAAATTATAGAAAATAAAGATATAACTTTTCATTTAAGAAGTAAAGAGATATGGTACTCGTATGGTACGCTTATTGATCCTTGCTATAACTATCATGTTGTAACGTCGCGGATATCGCACAGATTCGAGGACATGAAATTCCGGTTGTACATTGCGGGAAGAACATGACGTTTCTATCATTGACTCACGCACACTATAACGATATCGAATCAACGACAATAGTTCTTGTTAGACATCGTAGGGAGGAGAACCACTCGGAATCCGTTCCTATTCGTGATGAATACATCTTGCGCAGATCCGGGGACATATCATCATTAGAATCGTATTATTCGGAATAAGAGGGAATATTCCTCGTGTACTCTAATAAAATTTAGTATAATTTTTAGAGTACAATTTTAATTAAAATAAATGCTCGACATTTTGTATGTAAGCGCCCTAGTTTAAATTTGGAAAATAAAACTATTTTATGTAAAGTTCTTTTACCTTGAAATAATCAGTGAAAAATAACAGACTTATAAAAATAATGAAGAATTTAGAATAACTGAAATAAAAGGGTGCATTTTCGTAGTGACTCCGCAATTTTTCACTCTTCGAGTAATATATCGAAGATTGCTACAGGAAGTCTACCTTTGGCGAAAATATTCCGCCGACATTATTAATTATTCTCTGCGAGCGATAGCGGCGCGCGAAAATCCGAATAATGTTCCGAGCGTGATGAAAAAAAGATTTCTGGCAGGTCAATCCGAGATAGTCAGACAGCTTTAGCAAGTCGGTAGACCGGGCTGCGCGATGGCTGTCCAATGGTTGAGCCAAATTGAAAATTTCACGCCTGATGGTACACCCGTCCGTGATCCGAAGAGGTTTCATCGACAGATGCTGAGGATTTTGCATAACCCTTTGCTCCTGTAGACTTGAAATACGAGAGAAAATATTGCTGGAACCGCGTGCACGTTCAGGGATTTATTATTGATATTTCCTAGCTTCCGAATTCTGAGAAGTCGAATAGTATTTCCACTCAGTCTGCCGCGCTATAGAAAGAAGCGGAATAAATCGCGAAGTCGAGAGAAGCATTTCCTCACTGTAATAGTGATAGAGGAAAAATTTTTATTCAGGTGAAATATCTTGAGCACTGTGCATTGAAATTTTTGTACTTCTAATCTGTTTGTACATGTATAAATATTGCGTTCCGTGTAGAAGTCGCGCACTTTATCTGAACTGTAAGTAAAATCGGAAGCTTGTATTTAAAAAATCGTAATTATTTAAGAATTGATTAACAATTATGAATATTGTAAGATAAGTGACTGAAAATTTGTGAATTTTGACAAATTACATTTCGCGTAATAAGCCTTGTTTTCTTATTCAATTTTCACGGAGTATCAGAGAATGTTTTTTACTTACTTTATGTAATTAATATGTTTGTTAAAAAGATTCGACAATTTTCGATAAATGTTCAATATGAGAAAATTCGGTGCTAAGTTTGCTAAAGAATCTGTAATCGAGAGAAAGCGCGAGATGTCTGAGACATGCTATATATTTTTAAATCGATCTGGTGTATATGCGGCCTGATTTTGTTCACAGGTGGGAGATTCGTAGTCACCTCGCAGGGTGACCTTCATATTAGGGGCGCCAGACCGGAAGACGGCAGAGCGACGTATTCATGTCTAACCCTACATGCCTTGACCAGCGAACGAAGAAAAAGCGAACCCGCCACTTTAACAGTCACGGGTAACTGCCAGAGCCGGATAAACCTTTTGCGAGATAAATATAAAATCAAGATCCGGATTAAAATTTAATCTACTTCCGCGGATTCTGCTGTATATATAATAGAGTGGCCAGGAAGATTATTCCTTGCCACTCGTTCAACTCTTTTTAAATTTATTATCACTGTTTTATTTGCAGAACCAACTGGTTTCTCGCCGCCGCGATTGATGCAACGATCTGAAATCGCTATTTCCGCTGAAAGCGGCTCCGATGTTCACCTCACGTGCTCGGCGCAAGGAAGCCCGCCACCGCAATTTACCTGGTATCGCGATGTTAATGGTTGGTTTAATTAGGGGAATGTTTACCGAATAAGCTATGTTAACAGTAGCGCCGAACAAACTATACCCAGCTGTGTTCAAACATCGATTTCTCGATAGCGTTTATACTGTGTTACGTTTAAACAATGTTGTCACATAATAAATAACTTCGTTAAAAATAAGAAGAAAAATCTATATTTAAAAAATGTACTTCTTTAATATTAAAAGACGCTATCGAACGTTATTATACATATGGAAAAAAAAAGAAATTTGTTTGTTTTATCAAAAAAGCTATAAGATTGTCGACGATTTTTCTCCCTCTCTTGTGTACGGAATACTATCGACATTTAACGCGAATTTAATCTAACATTACGCAAATATATGCAAACTTTGCTGATATGACCGTTACAGGACAGATATACATCTGAATGTCTTATTCTAGGCCACTCAATACCGGTCGAATCGTTCGGCCGTATCCAGCTTTGGGGTGATTTGATGCAAATTCGTCGCGTAGATGCGCAAGACGCAGGAAGATACGTTTGCCGGGCCAGCAATCAACTTGGCGAGCAACGAGCGGAGACGCACTTGTCAGTCACATCAAAGCTAAACGCTCGGATTCAGCCGCGTGTGCAAGTACGAGTCTGATTTATGCAAATGGATAATTTCTCTCTTAAATGTATGACATTTTATATTAGCAGACTGAAAGAGGGATAATAATATAAAGGTAGATAGAACATCGTCTCACGCACAAAGAGATTTTCTTCGAAATTCAGGATTGTGATGAAAAAGGAAAACTTTTATCCTATGAAAAATTATTAAGCTTGCGCCACGATATAATATTAGCGAAAGTTATTTATCCGATATAATAGGGAAAACAATTAATGCAAATCAAGTATTTAATCCACTTACGGATAACACTCTGCTCTACTTTTATCGTAGTGTAATGGAAAATTGGGTTAAACTAAATATGATTGCGTTACCTATATTTAACGTAATTGCGTCTACGATAATTAATTAACAATTATTACTTTCTCTCTCGCTCTCAACATAAAATTAATTAATAAAACAATTATTAAATGATGATTACTTGGTCATGAATTCATCACAGATTGGCACTAAATATAAAAATACATTAAATGTGTCGTTAACTTAACAAAAGCAAATCTCCCGGGGGTATTAATCTTATTGCATGTTGAGGAAGTCTTCTCAAGAAAACAACATAAAAATCGCAGAGATAGACACGAATTCGCCCGACGACTGCGAGATAGATTCGCTTGTCATCATTCGCAGGTCATTAATTCCGGCGAGACCGCCACGATGAACTGCACGGTCGAAGGATATCCGGTCGAGAGCGTTGAGTGGCTACATGACGGTGTCCCAGTATTGACCGCGCAGGACACGAGGATCAGATTGTTAGCTCCCTTGGTGCTCGTGATAGGCTCCGTTGGTCGCAGAGACAAAGGGATGTATCAATGTTTGGTGAGGAGCGACAAGGAAAATGCTCAGGCCACCGCCGAACTCAAGCTCGGAGGTCAGCAAACGCATCGTCCGCTTTTAATACCCGTTGTATCCTATTTTCGTTTGGCCGTTTCTATCTATTCTTATACCATTAATTTATATGGATAAATATATACATATTTTCCGCGTTCTATTATTGGATAATTAAGTTTTCGTTGCTTTTCCTATACATATATAAATTTCTCTTCTTCCGAGAGAACTGGCTCGTGCCTGTTTTAAAAAACGGATTTTTGAAAACAAATTTTTAGACACGGTCCCGGAATTGCAGTACACGTTTATTGAGCAGGCACTACGACCGGGCCCGCCGGTCTCTCTGCGATGTTCTGCTACTGGTTCACCGACGCCATCCTTTACGTGGCTACTAGACGGTGAACCACTGAGTCAGATTGCAACTGGACACAGGTAGATCGTACCTATGTTCTGATATATTGGCGTTATATTGCGCTATCTTCTAATCAGGAACTATACGCGTAGATACGCGATAGGCCAATACGTGGATCAATCCGGTGACGTGATCAGTCACTTAAACATTTCATCGGCGGGAGCCGAGGATGGTGGCCTGTATGCTTGTGTGGCGTCCAACACTCTAGCGATCGTCGAGCACAAAGCTAGATTGAACATTTACGGTACGGCATGCATGCAAGATAATAATTTCATAATTATATACATACAAATATAATTACGTATTAGGATGTGGAATAATTTTTAAGTGTGAGAGCATCTCTTACGAATAAGCTCTTAATCTGTAAATTTCCACAATATTGACGTAAATCTTTTAAATCGAGTCTTCAAAAATCGAGTGCGTTTTAATTAGATCTATTAGATTTACATCCACAAATATCGAGAACATACAAATTTTAAGCGAGACAAGGAAGAGAGTCTCGAGTAAGCGGGAAAATTGATTCAGCTCGTGGAAGCGAGTTCAAAACGGGATAATTCTATAATAAGAAACCACTTTTAGGACCGCCGTACATCCGATCGATCGGCCCGGTTCGCGCCATCGCTGGTGTCGACATTACAATAGCGTGTCCTTACTCAGGATACCCGATCACATCGGTCGGATGGACCCGAGGTGGTGCCGAGTTGCCCTTTGACATTAGGCAGCGGGTCGACAGCGAGGGCCACCTTACGATCCTCACGGTAGATCCGAATGATGCCGGTACTTACACGTGTATAGTTCGAGCAAGTTCCGGGGAGACTGCCAACAGGGATATATTACTAACTGTTAATAGTAAGTGAGAACGAGAGAGTGGTCAGCGTGAAACAGAGAAGTAGAACTAATTAGATGGATGTTTCATAAATTTATATAATTTATTAAGCTCTGAAATGTATTTCCTGTCTAACGACAGTATATTTTTGAGTAGAAATATTGTAGCATTTCGAATCTTATTTCAAGAGGATCAATGCAGGAAAATATAAAGTTGTGAAAAAGATTGCAATATGTATTGTGATGCAATGTATTGTTACGTTCTCCAGACCTTATGATTCCTTTCTTCGCGCAATTGTCGGTGAGACCATTCTACAGCGAAAGAAATGAATAGACACCAAGCGGGCGAACAGTTACTGCTTAGTGGAGGAGACAATAGTCTAGACAATTTTTTTTTGTTCTATTGAGTTCAATAACAGAACGAGAATCGTGCAAACACACACATATGATACACATTCTTAAGTAGTAAAAATAAAAAGAAAACGATTTAAAAAGAAAACAATCATGGTATAATCCGAAATTATTCTTCCTTTGCTTTATTATTATTAAAAATCGATATATTTTTGAAAAATTGGAAAACGGTTGACTAATCAATTTTCCATAACTTAAAAGATAATATCGGAAGTCCCAGTCTACTACGAAACACATTCGGAATTAAGGGAAGCAGCAGAAACTGTTAGCTCAAGTGCAAGGAAATTTTAAACATTTAAATTTAACTAATAAAAATTTAGATTTATTCGAAAATCTTGTTACTTTCCTGACAGGCAATTTTCCCGTTTTACTCGCGTTACAGCTTTCCCCCTTTTTTCCTCCTTTTATAGCAGAGATACAAAAACTTTCCAACTGATTCTTTCTCTATCATGTATATACAATATACATATAATTAGTTAGCGCTTTTATCAATGAGATTATAATAACTAAAATTAATTTAATAATTAGAACTGTTTCACGAAAATTCTAATTGATGTCCTCTGCACGAATGTAACATCCGCGAATCATCCACATACATTCACTTCCAAATCACTTCAAAATATATTATTTACTTTATAGCTCCCGAAGAAATTATTTGTAAGATTTGTATACTAAATCCGTAATAATAATTCTTTTCTCTTTATATAAAGAGCTCTTGCCCTCAAGTCTTTATCATTCAAAATCGTATAAGGTAATTTACCCTCAAATAATGATTAAATTACTTTATCTGAAACAAAGGACCGATGAATGCACAGAGAGTATCCTTTTGGGACATTGACTTACATCTGAGATTTATATGATGCGTTCGACTCGTAATCGCGCGTCTCTATTTCACTTAACTTTACCAAAACGGAAAGGAATCTCGGGGTTTGGACGTAATAGTATAATATAGCGCAACATGTAACTTTTCCATTTTGTGCGTACTTTGCAGGTCCACCAGTAATGAGTCCCTTCAGCTTTCCCGCGAATTCGCAAGAAGGCAGTCGTGCTCAAGTGACTTGTAGCGTGACGTCGGGCGATCTTCCAATCTACATTTCCTGGTTGAAAGATGGCGAGCCACTGCCTTCTTCCCTTCGCGTAAGCATTATTTCACTTCACAAAGTTCAGCTCTATATGAAGAAATATTCGACAGTTTCTTTCTACGTTCTCTCTAATTTTTGTGTCTTCGACGACAAAAGATAAAAAAGTAACGCAAACTGCAACTTTATTTAAAACTATGTACATATATCTATGTACATTTTACCTATAAGAACTAATTTTTTAATCTTTTAATATTTTTCTTCGAAAAAGTTTCTCCTCTTGAAAATAAAAATACGCATTTTCTAGGAATAAAACTAGTGTGAAAAATATTTATATAGTAGCCTTTGTGAATAATGTTCTTCAAACAAATGGAAGCTCAATAAAAGCAAATTTTAAAAACAGCATATAAGATAGAGATTTTACCGATTTTACGGCCTTACAAATGCAAAGGAGAGAATATCTTTTATTTCTCTTATAATTAAAAAAATATGTATCTTTTATAATTATCCATTATGTATAAGGATAATAAAAATAGCGTGATATCTTAATTTGTATGTTTCGCATAAATCATATTCCTATTTATGATCGCGTTTCTGCCCTACAGATTGAAGAGCGAGGTGCCGAGTTCTTCAGCCTCCTCGTCTTCAAGGAACTGTCGTCGCGGCACAGCGGCAAATACACCTGTGTGGCCACGAATAGCGCCGCGAAGGTCAACCACACGGCCGAACTTTTGGTAAAAGTACCGCCTCAATGGATATTCGAACCGCTAGACGTGGCGACTCTCCTGGGTAACCCGTTAAATGTCCATTGCGAGGCCAAAGGTTTTCCACCACCGCGTATCACGTGGCTGCGTGCCAGAGGCAGAACGTCCAACGACTATCAGCCGCTGGTCGATGGTTCCGATGGTAGACTTACGATATTGCCTAATGGATCTTTGTGGACGGCTTCCGCCGGTCCGCAGGATGAGGGTTACTATCTCTGTAGGGCTAACAATGGCATCGGATCCGGACTAAGCAAAGTGATATACGTGTCAGTGCACGGTAAGAATAATTATGCGAATTACAGCGAATTAATTATGATCCAATACAAAATCTAGAGATATGAATACATTCTCGATTGTTTAAATAATCAGTTCATCAATGCAGAAAAGTCTAACAAAAATGTTAATTAGTCAATCGACACTTCATAAGTTTATATTTTTTAAAAACATGATTAAATAGAAAGAAATAAAATAATTTATATTTAATAATAAAAAAAGCATTTTTTTCAATAATCATTTTTTTAATAATAAAAATCTCTAAAGATCAATTAATTTATTCACAGTAATTTTATTTCAAATGTGATATTTGATATTTGAAAATTATTAAAAATCTCGCTGAGCAAACATCAAATCAAAATTTATGATTTTTTGCAGAACCGGCGAGATTCGAGTTTCAGAGTAAAAATGTAACGATTCGCCGTGGAGAATCCGTAACTATCGATTGCACTGTAATCGGTGATAATCCTATAGAGGTTCAATGGATGCACAACAGTGATCGATTGGATATGAGCAATCATAGACTAAGCATCGGTCAAATAAAGACTGACAACGGCCTGAAGTCCCAATTATCTATCGCAAACAGTGATCGGCAAGATTCCGGGGTCTACAGATGCACCGCTGACAACGCTTATGGAAGAAGCGAACATCTGATTTATTTAGCAGTTCAAGGTAAAGCACGCATTTTTATTATTAAACCTTCTCATTTTGCACAGGTCAGCGTTAATTTTTATTAATAGCTGTATCCGAATCAACGTGCAACGTAAACGCTTTACTTCAAACCATGTTTGTATTTTACAGAGAGGCCGGATCCTCCAGCTGGACTCGAAGTAATAGAGATCGGTTCCCGATCAATACGGTTATTATGGAAGCGAGCCTTCGACGGAAACAGCCCTATAAGAAATTACGTGATACAATATCGCTCGCTGAGCCACGGTATGACCGATGATTGGAATCCCGTCAAAACGCACAATGTCACGTACACGCCAGGAAGCTCCAATAGCGGTAATTCTATACATCCGACTCAAAACGGTTCGTCCATATACCCCCGATCGATATCGCGGTATCTGTCCGTCCCCTTCGTGACTTGTCTCAATTCTAGGCTTATCTCCGTTCGAAACCACCGGCGATGATCAAGAGGTAGCTCTGGTCGGTGGTCTTCATCCGGCCGTTACCTATACCTTCAGGATATTTGCTATAAACTCCATCGACGCGAGCGGACCGACGGAACCAGTCGTGGCGAAAACTCAGGAGGAAGGTAAATGCCTCGTATGACAATGCGATCGTATGACTGAAATCTTACTGTATTGTATTACATTGATATATCTGCAATAGCACCTACCGAACCACCGCAAAACATCAAAGTGCAATCTGCCGGGCCTGGAGAGCTCATGGTCAGTTGGCAAGTAAGTAACGCCAATTCATAGACGTGACTTACAAGTACTTTAGAATTAATTCTCTTGAAATAAATAACGTATCAATGCTATAAAAAAATCGAGAAACAATTTGAAAACACATTAAAATGTATTTGTTTTTTAGCCACCTCCAAAAGAATCGTGCAACGGCGATCTGCTAGGATACATAGTGACGTGGTCGGAACATTCGTCGTCGACTTCGGGTGTCAATCAAAGCAAAAGTTTAACCGTAAACGGTTGGGCGACGACAAAGGTGCAGCTGACCGGTTTGAGAAAATTTACGAAATACGGCATTTCGATCCGAGCTTTCAACAGCATAGCCAGTGGACCAGCTAGTGCTCCCATCGTGGGCACTACTCAAGAAGGAGGTACATGATCGAGAAATCGTATCTATGCGAAGCAACGGTGACCGGACATATTTAAATCTCCATTCACATTCGTTTCGTAGTACCGGAAACGCCGCCGACTCAAGTGACATGCGTTCCATTGTCTTCCCAAAGCGTCAAAGTGTCTTGGAGTCCGCCTCCGCCTCATCAGCACGGCGGAATTATTCAAGGATACAAAGTCTATTACAGGCCGGTTCCTACTGATAACAGTGAGTCACTCGCTACATTAATGAACAAAAAATGTTCGCAAGAGATTAATCTCGTAAATCATTATTATGTTTTACAAGACATTATTAGATGTTAACTTTTTTTCCTATCGCAGTGGATATATCGACGGTCGGCGAAGTTAAAAGAACTTCCAGCATGGACACTTACTTGCACACGTTGTACAAGTACACGAATTACTCCATCAAGGTATTGGCTTACACAGGCGCGGGTGACGGAGCGTTGAGTCCACCGATCTTCTGTATGACAGAAGAAGATGGTGAGATATCTAATGCAATTTTAGTAAATAAGAAGAACTGGTTATCTCAAATTATAAAATAAATAATCCGGCATTTCTTTTGCAGTTCCAGGCCCGCCCGCTGGCATTAAAGCACTGGCGTTAACAGCGGAAAGCATATTAGTTTCCTGGTTGCCGCCGTTGCAGCCTAACGGAAATGTCTCAAAATACACTGTGTATAGCAGAGAAGCTGGCTCGAAAAATCATAACGCGCACACGATGCACGAACCGCCACTATCGCCTACGGATACTCTTACAATGGAATTACGAGATTTAGTGGAGAGGTACGTACGAATATCATAACGTGTTGATTGTAACTCTTTCGCAATGTTTTTTACAAACAAATTCTTAATTTCTCTAGGCAATTATACGAGTTTTGGGTATCGGCAACGACCGGTCTCGGAGAAGGGGAACGAACCACCATAGTTTCGCAAACAACGAATACCAGAGGTGCTTGTGGGGATCACATATTCGAAAATTTGCTTTCAGAATTAAGATTTCTAATTTATTTATTGCACGTCTTATACGTTGCCTGATATACTTCTCGTAAATTTTTCTATCGTATAATTGTAAAAGCATAGAACTGATAGAACTCATTCCGTAGCTCCCGCTAGAGTGGCGTCATTCTCGCAAATATTAAGAAGAGCTGTAAAATCGTCGGTCACCCTGTCGTGTTTAGTGGTCGGAAATCCTACGCCACGACCTATTTGGACATACAGAAACAATCAAATCACCACCGGCAGGCATTACGAACTTACACCCGACGGGCACCTTAACATACGCGGTAGGTATCTTACTCTTTAACTTATTCCTCGCTACTTGCAAAATCACTATACTTGATCTAGACACTCAAGTGCAAATTTGAAATGTCTATAACATTACATGAGCTAATTATTTTTTTTATCCAAATTATTTAACCTACAAATTATTATCATAATAATCTTCTCGATCGTCTTTCAGGATTGGAGCAATCGGTCGCAGGGAATTATACTTGTTCGGCTAGCAACTTATTCGGCGACGACTCCATCACGTATTCATTAGTTGTAGTGATGCCACCCAGAGCACCGACATTAGAATTGCAATATACGACAACCAACAGTATCAGATTCCGTTGGAATCATCCTGACAATGGCGGTGCTACTATACAAGGTACTGAAAAAGTAACCGATAATCGCGTCACGTATGTATTTTTATAAGTAAAGTATCTTTCTTTTATGCCAGGATATGTGTTAAGCTACAAGAGGGATCAGGGTGGATGGGAAGAAATTGCCTTATCTCCTGAGCAGACGGAATTCGTGCTCTCTGGATTAAAATGTGGTTCTTCCTATTTAGCGCATTTAACAGCACACAATCGCGTCGATACCGGCGACCCGAGTCCGTTAATTAGCGCAACAACGAAGGGCACCGGTAAGTAAGATATTCTATTAAAATAAGCTACGAGATCGATTTGGCTTAGAATCAAATTCAAGTGTCAATTAATACAAACTTTCCTATTGAAACGGCGACGATTAATTTCCCTCAACTTACATTCCAGCGCCCCTATTGCCTAAGGAAAGAGATATTATTTCGGCAAACGGCACGTCGGTGAAATTAAATTTATTATCTTGGCCTAACGGAGGATGCCCCATTCAATATTACACCGTCGAGTATCGTAGGCGAATCAATACGGAACCGTGGATTTTGGTGGCCAGTAGAGCGACCGATAACGTCGTGATTCGTGATTTAAAAACGGCATCGTGGTACAGTTTACGTTTGACGGCTCACAACGACGCTGGCTCGACTCAGGCTCAAATGGAGTTTGCCACGACCACGTTAAGCGGAGTCAGTATCGGTCCGCCCAACGATCTGATAATGGAGGACGATATCAAGAAGACTGTGCCTAATCATAAAGTTTTGTATGTCATCGTACCGCTCATCTGCGCAATCGTTTTGGTTGTTTCTGCCGTTATCCTGGGATATGTCATGCTTAAACGTAACGGCAGGTAAAGCATAATCCCGGCTCTTGAAACTCTATTTTACTTTATTTACTTTGTAAAGGCCCGTATTCTCTGCCCGCATTTATTTCTGAAATTCTACGGTATATGTAATGTTAACTATATGCTAAATGCGCGCATTTATGATAAAAGTGAACTGAGAACACGAGCCTTTACCACCCGCCACGATCAGATTCTTATTAATCGCTCTTTTAACATTGTTTTTCGACAGAGCGAACTATCTAGGCGAGATGTTACCGGGACAACAGCAGCAACAACAAGCTTTAGGAATAGTTCCACAACAACAGCACCAGCAACAACATCATCACTTGTCCAGTTGTATGTCGACCGTACAACTCAAGTCGACGGCTGAACGAGACAACAGACGTAATCATCAGGTTTACACTAGTTCGCCCGTGAAGCAAGAAAATCACAAATCCGCCGATCACGGATCTGGTACGTGTGTTCGCGGGGCAATGAGTTATTTGTGTAACGTGAATGCACCTTTACGAATGCTCTGTTATCCTTCACAGAAATGTATGAGATAAGTCCGTACGCCACGTTTAGCGTTCCCGGAAGAGAGAATCGTTCGGTCACAACTGCGACGCTCGACTACACGATGCAATTCAAGACTTTTGGTCATTTGGAGAACGAGGACATCAACACTATCGATTATGACAGATCCAGCGTGGAGTTCGAAAGGTAACTGGCTTCTCCCGCCGCTTCTTAACTTCTGACTCTTCGTGAAATCCGTTTCGCGTTTTTGCGGACCTATTTTTCTCCTCTTCTCTTCCTCTTTCTGGTGTTCTTTGACGCGCAGGTCGAAAACACCAAGGTGGCACAAGCAACGCTACTTTCCGAGCATCGCGGAAGCCGAGAGCAAGCTGCGATCGAGTCGACAAGGCTCCGGGAGCGACACGTCCGGAAGCCCTTGCGGCGAATGCACCGGGCCTAGTTATAGAGTGCCAGTAAAGCCTTGTAGAGGTACAATTATGTATTCCTACTCTCACGATTTTGTAGACAAAAAGAAATCGCATAGAAAATAATTTATCGAGAAAACCAGCTGCACACGAATAAATCTGCGTGTATAACAACGCGATTCTCCTTACAGATGTATTTTCGCGAGGTGTCGAATCGAGTACGGAATCTAACAACGAAGGCTCGCCCTCACTCGCGAGACGACGAAGCCGACAGCCGAGCCGGTCTACTCGCAGGTAGCCAAGGTTTGTTTGTTTCCACATAGCACTCAGTCTTGACTATTCGATATCGGCCTCTTATCGTTTTCACACCGACGCGAGAAAGAAGCGCAATGACGCGAGTTATTTAGCAATGAGAAATTTTTTACGAGTGTCAAACATTTATTTATATTTATTTTATGATTATTATTGCAAGAGACATGTTGAAAATACATATATTCCGATAGAATATGTTGTGATACATATATGACATATTTTCACGTCATTGCGCTTCATTCTAAAGCCTCATATTTTATACGACGAAGGATACCAAACATTTAAGGATGTTCTAATATGTTCGCTATTAAACATAACAAAATTTTCGTATTTTTGGGAAAAAATTTAACTAAACCTTTACGTGACCGATGAAAAAATTATCCTTACACGTATAAAAAATGTATTGTGTGTATGTACCACCTCATCCTATATATATTTAATTTAGATAATATCAAAGATAATGTTGATAATAACCATTAAATTAATCATCAATTTATAATTAATCATCGTGAAACATTATTTTACGAATAAGGGATTTGATTAATCGTATTTAGTTAAAGCTGCATTTTATTAATTTTTTAATTCAGGCAACGGTGTCACAAACTTTAAAGAAAAATTTTCCTTCTGACTCGACAAATGTATCCGCTGATCTGTTTGACAGTTCGGTGGAGGATATGACACTATTGCCGCCAACCGGGTTCAGTGACAGCCGCGAATTGAGCGACGTGGAGTGCGACCGTGACCGTGATCGCGAACGCGATCGCGAATGGCAAGGTTTATCAGCCGGGACCCGTCACGGCGGCAGTTTGGGCAGACTTCCGATTGAGGCCGTCGAATCTATGCTCGCTAGGTATCGGCACGAGTCTCCGTAAACAGGCATGCCGAGTACCAAGCAGCCGAGACCGGTCTAATGCTCGGAAATTTATTTGTTTGTATATAGGATGTCTCGCGACTACCGTTATACACATGTATAATATATGAGAATTTGAGGAAAAATGATAGTTGTTTGGGATACTGATACTTTTTATATAACATCAGTAGTATTATAGCTAGCTGACGTTATTTGTCGTCAATTGTCATTTTAATGTCAAAATGACGACAAATAACGCTTGCTACCCCTGGCTTGTATTTAATAATATTATATGTTTCCATATATATACATTTATAACATCAAGTAGATTATATTATTTAATAAAGCCTTTACTTATCAAGGTAGTTAATATCAAATATTCAAGACGAGGAATAAAACATTCTCTGAATAAATTTGAAATATCATTAATTCATTTAAAAAATTACTATCATATACTCGCTTTCGTTTTGAAGAATGCGAGATACTTGAAAATTAATAAGAGAGAGAATTAAATAAAATACTTTTAAAAACATATGCGTTATCTGTTGCAGATATCAGCAAAGGAAGGAGCAAGAGAGACAAGAATTCACTATACACGTATGATCGAGATTCGCTGGTTCGACTTGGTATCTTCGCCGGACGATTTAACATTATTTAGAAAGAGATGACAAGTCGTCTCTTTTCTTGAAACTATCCGTCGCCGTTGAAGAAAATTTTAATGTGTTGAAAAGAGTGCGTGAGAGACAATTTAATTTTTAATGGAGATGGATATAAGAGACTCCTCAGGTCCATTTGTGTCGAAGAGGCGTCTCAATAACTGATCTGCGTTGCGCCAAATACTGCCGTTATTATACACAAAACATGGCCTTCGTATATAACCCTGTATGTGCCACGTATGTAACGCCGAATTTCGAAAAAAAAAAAGAACACCAAATCCTGTCGGCGATATACACATGATGCAATTAAGCAATCGAGAAGTAACGGAAGCATTCGATTAACTGTACGTTTTTGATAGCATTTATCCTTTCTATCACCGAATTACGATTACATTGTCTTACGATTACCGTACGGAACGTGATTACGATAAAAAAAAGTCTGATTGACCGATCCATTACTTTCGCGACGACCAATTATTGATATACAGGGTGAACGCCAACTTCCATGCGAGTACCTCCGCTTCACTAGTGCGATCTACTTATTAATGAGCTATTCTACGTATGATTATAGGAACGACCGATTATTCGCGGTAATGAGTATTGCATTTTAAAAGATTTTAAAAAACGCTGCAACGACCGCAGCGTTACACGTTACACGTTACCCCCGTAAGAAATAGGTCAATTAATTCGAAGCTATAATGACGAACGTTTATTCGAAACGAAACTGAATTCCTATTAATCTTGACAATCGGAAATTGGTTCTCAAATTGCTCTCGGTTTGAAATTCGAAAGTGCTTCGATTCGATTTCACGCAATTCAACTACGAAACCGACTTTCCACGAACGATTTTTCGAATAGCGTCAACTTTATTAGAAATGTATAGTATTAAGAACGTTATGAAAAAAGAAAAAAAAACGAAGAGACTTGGGAAGATAAGGAGAGCTTACGTGTGCTCCTTTCTCTATCCTAATTGAACGTAATTGTGCGCTATAACAAATAGTATTTACAAATCGTTTATCCGAATAAGAAGCGGCTAGCGCCTTAACTGTGTAAATAACTGCTCTTTGAGAAATGACACTTATCGATGTGATCGTAAAATAACGCTAACGATTATGAAATACCACGTGCACAGAGAGTCATAGTATGTCCGCAGACAAGATCGAGAATCGTGTAGCATAGAGCGATCGAAAAAACTGTAACTTCTCACCGGAGATTCGGTTTCTTTTCGAAGATCTCTCCCGTAACGTGAGACTGATCGTTGACCGAGTACGCTTAAATTGATTTCTGCCAACAAGAGTAAAAGGGCCGGTTTCACCATCTCCGATTAGTTTAATCGGCCGATTATTCCATTGAAACTGACCAATCGCATTTGTCGTTAAGCAGATTGACCAATCATGGTTGACATTTGATCGGCGCCGATTAAATTAATCGAAGATGGTGAAACCGGCTGTAAACGGTTAATCGTTCCGATCGAGCGACACTTCCGATCACGCTCAAAAAGAGAAAGAAACAAACGGAACCATGCGACGCGCGACGTTCTTCATTTCCCTTTTACTTTAATAAAAGAGAGACAAAGACTTGCTTAGAATTATTCTCGCGGTTGTTTTTAAGACAGTTGACTAAGTCTCGTAGGAATCTCAAGAAAATTCATATGATATACGTCTCTTGTTACTTTATAACGGGTTATCGCGTAGATGTAATAGATATGTATATATAAGTGGAGATGATCAGAAGATCAGACGATTTCTCGAGATTCGCGCGCGCGAATTTCGCGCTCATCTCGGACAAGAGTTTATGCGAAATGTATCGCGATCGATATCACAACAGTCATCCTGCAGAAGATGGATGAATCGAGGAGAGAATCGGCGGTGATTCATTCTGTAATGCCGGACTCCCAGAAATTGGCATAGTTTTAAGGATCGTTTATTTCTCACGATTCATCTGCTTCCGACAGGATGAGAGAGACGTTGGAATAGTTAGAGCAAGCGCAAGAGAGGCAAAATAATATTGGAAGAGAAGAGCATGTGTGTATGTTTCATTTCATATTAGCAATCGCAATCGCAAAACTGCCGGTTAAACAGTTGGGACAAGTGCGATAAGAGTCACTTTAAGAAAATATCAGCGTAATTGTCGTAATCCATCGCACAGATAGAATTGCGAAATCAAGACTGTCCGTTCGAATAATTAAAGCAAATATGGAGCAACACGAAAATTATATACACGATGAAAAAGCTTAGCTAAAAAGAGGCTGTTTTGACAACTTCGACGATTCTGAGATTTGTATAACGCCAAAGGGACGATCTACCGAGAAATATGTGTACACTCATGAAGAAAAAAAATAAAAAGAGCAAATTACAATGCGGTAGAACTGCAATATATGGTTGTTTTCTTAAAATCGATAAGGGATTACACCTTTTCGTGAGATACCTTTTAGAATTTTTATTTAATGTTTATCATCACCTTCCCCTCGGATAGGCAGAATGCTAGCAGAAACATAACAGAATCCGTTAACGGAATATAATGACAGACTGATTTCAGAAATCGAACTATTTAAATATTTTAAATGATGTATTCCATTTGAATGGAATACGAATTTGATGAAATGACAGATTCTACTCAGTTTCTGCTAACAATCTGCTATCAGATTATATCGGCAGGCTCTGTGTGGCAGAACACCTCGCAGAACACGAGTTTAATGCAGAATCAGCTTGATGCCACAATATTCTACTTAAATCTATTGGTAAACTGTTAATATTTTGGCCTTACTAGGCTGTGTATTTTTAAATTTCTAACAATTCAGATTAAATCAGACGGCATATAAATGTAATAATGTAAAGTTTCTATTTGCGTAAAAAATTCAAAGATTTTAGGAGGACAAATATTATTAAAACATGATATATTAGCTGGAGAATTCCTAAACCAAAATTGAACGATGTTAATAATGAGCGTAATTATTATTTCTTTATTATTGCTTATATACTTTTTTTGACCATAAACTTCTCTGCAACATTTATCAAGTTAACGCACGACAAACTTTTTAAGCAAATCCTCGTAAGTATTAGCAGTTTCGTATCTTAATCAGTGATATATTTTGAGCCAGCGTGCCATTATTATGACAAAGATATTATCAGAAATACATATAAAATGATTTTATTGGAGTTTTGACCAAACTTTAATAAAAAAATATTCAGTACTTAACTTATTAAATAATATCTGTACTATTTTGTTGATATAAATCAAAATTATTAATTCTTTACTATTTAACTTACGAAAAAAAATTAGAAATAATGAATTGTATAAAAATTTTGCTTCAAGCAATTTTGCCGGTTAAATTAATCGCCGATTAAGTTAATCAAAATTTGGCCCAAGTTGCCTTTAATGATAAATAATCTTTCTCAAAGTCTCCAAAAGTGAAAGGCAATCTTTAATTTACATAAGGTCGGTGTAACAATTATTCACTTTTAATAATTGTTTTATTAATTTAAGAGCCATTAAAAAGTAAAAGCAGTCGTGATTTAAGGACAATTCCTCATGCCAATCGTGGCGTAAAGCGTGCGTGAGTTGTCCGCAAAATTGGAAAATGTTATAATACCTATCCCCCTAAATCAAACATTGGAAAATATTTAATCGAAATAACTAACTGCAGAACGACGACATGCGTATACGTACCTGACAATGATCACGACGAATTTATTCCACGATCGTTAATGCATCCCGAGAAAATAATGTGCGAAAGAACGAACGAGCAAAACCACCACGAGCGTGCAGATGGTAACAGGTACGAAAAAATCGTAAGACCTCTAGTGCGGGACGCGCGGATTTCTCTGGCGCGATGTTTTACAACTCTCCGCGAAAAATATCAAGCACTTTGCGAGAGACACTTGCTGTTATTCTACGCGTACTTACGATGTCCCTTTTCACTCGCGAACGACGCGGCAAGGCTTGAACGCGGCATCGCGCCGTGGTTCCATATTCCGGAACGCGATTTCATATCTCTCGATCTCGAGACACACGGCACTGCGATGACTTCGAGGATTCTCGGAACAGTCAACGAGACGACGAATCAACAGCGCCCGAATGCGACGTTTAACGCAATTGCAACAACGTTCTTTCTTTTTCTTGCTAATAAGTCTACGTAAAATAAGAGCACGAAATACGAAGCAATAGGCTCGTTTATGAAAAATTTTGTGAGCAAAACGAATAATATTTGTGGGGCAAGCAACAAAAAATAATATATTTTATAATTTTTAAGTATCTTGGCGGCGACGACGATTCAGCGTCTTTTATGGTATGCGCGACCACCGCGCTGCAAGAACGATCGCAAAGAAATTAAAAAAAAAACGACACAATTTAACGTAAATTTTCTTCATGAGGAATAAAGAAGCACACGTGCAAATTTGAAACATTTACGACAAATTAAGTGAAATGAGCGAATTACGTGCCTGTTCTTTAACGAAAAATGAAATTGTATTCTTAGAGGCACATTTGAGCTTGTTAATTCGCACTCTCGACGTTCATACGCATTTTGGAGCAAAGCTTGCTCCAGTCGCTCCTTCGTTCACGATCGTTCGCGATCGCGACAAGCAACAGGTGGGAACATCAAACGCGCGATCATTCTCTTTAATTACTCTATTAATTATTAATTTCCGCGCTTAACGAGAGGTTCGAGCCATTCACTGAAACATCTTCCCGCGCGATTCACTCATTCGGAGTAGAAATCAAAACGGAGCACGGAGGCAAGAGACGCGAATCCGAGGTTATCGTCTCACTGTGAGACACGCGAGACAACGATTTTATTAAGATTCAGGTGTATCGCGCTTCGAATCATTTGTATCTCACACACAATTCACTCACCGATCACGGCGCACTGCAGGAGATGACCCGCCAAATCACAGCCAGGAGGGTGACACGTACGGCCGCGGCGTCCAGCACGGCATTCGGCGTTCATCTCGCCCAGCGACGGCATCCCACTCGTTGCAGTCGACACGAGAAGGAACGAAATATTCGGCGTACGTTCAGCTCGCAACACACACTCCGTAACCGGATTTCTTTTCGTTCGCGAGAAAGGAATTACACGAACGACGACGTGTCTCGCACCGACCGGCCGTTGAACGCGTCACGTATTACTGCGCCGGCTTGCGGTTTGCAGCGCCGCACGCACAGTCGGGAGAGAGATCGAACGCGATTGGCTAGCGGCTAGAGAGTCGAGCCCCCGGATCCTGCCAATCACGTTCGGCCGCTCTGAGCCGTCGGCACGGCCGCGGCGCGCGGCGGCGCGGCGTACCACTCGTACCAAACGGGCGCGACCGTTGAATTTGAAAGCAACGTATGTTCAAAGTCGCTACGCGGCTGATTGTTTTTAACCGTTACCTGCGGAAGTCACTCACTCTTTGTCTGTTTCTAAGGAAGACTGTTAGAAAGAGACAAAGAGTGAATTGAACTAAGATTGAAGTTAAACGACGTTGGTGAAACCGGACATAAAAGATTTTTTCCTTCTGCATAAAAAAAATATAAATGCTTAAAGAAACTCATCTTTTTCCTTTATTTTTATTCAAAGTTCATTAAAAATAAAATATTAAATAAACGATGTTTATTAAAATGACTATAAAATCGTCAACTACAATGTAGACAGATGTTTGTGAATTTATTTATGAGTTTTCTAAATACTTTAATGTAGGGAAAATAGCGTTGAACGCAACTTACACAACAGACTCACGTATGAACTGGAAAGATACGTATATCCGTATACATACGGAAGCTTAAATGTTAATGAAACTATTTTATTATTTGTGTAGTGTCATTTATACGAATACTTCGTATGTACCTATATAAAAAATATCAAATGATATGTTTCTATAAAATTAATTTATATATAAATTATTTATGACGTAATAAAGCAATAAACAGGATCATAGTTAGCATTCAAAAATTACGGGAAACAATCATTTTTTTTCTTGTGTATTTTTTTTACAATATTATTCGGTGTCATTTTGACACCATGGGACCTACAGTTTATAACGCCGATTCCGAACGGCTTTTCTTTTTTTTTTCTTTTTTTTTTTTTTTTTTTTTTTGGGGAAAACGTATACCTTGTGGCCGGTATTCATAATCGGATCTTATTTCGGTCTCAACTCAAATATAAGATCTGACTATGAATACCGACAAGCTGTCATTTCAACAAGCTGCTTTTATATATCGTTTGTCGTATTTTAAATACGAGAAACGCCAGCTAGCGGATGTCATCTAGCGAATGTGATCCGACATTCGCATACATAATAGACCTATAGATATTGAACTGAGACCTCAGACTCTATAGTCATTTCTAATAGCGGCATCTCCCAACGTTGGCGCTGACAGCGCTAGCACACATGACACATAGCGCACGTGTTTAATGAATTTTGAGGTTATAATCAGTTATGATGCTCAGTGATCTAAATCAACATTTACTTTTATTGATATATTGTATGAAGTATAATATATATATATATTGCGTTATTATAAGCATTAAATAGAAAGCGTTTCTCCGCAAAATGGGGCGTATTCAACGTAAAAAGACACTGGATACTAAGAGCAAAATCAACAAAACTAAATCAATACAGAAAACGCGCAAGCAGCTACGTAAAGAGAAAAGGCAACAAAAGAAGATAAGTAGGGCAGAGTATTATCAAAAGAAAAAGTCGAAAAATCAGTCGGGAAAAATTGTTCAAGTATCAGGGACTGACAGTGATAAATCGATGAAAATAAAAGAAAAAGTTGACGTTGACCAGGTGCCAACGACGAAGACGCAAAAACGACAGAAGTCTAAAGATACGAAGGAAAAAAGGATGCAGAAGAATGCAAAAAAGCAAAGAATGGTACAGTTGAACCAGGCTAATATAGAGGAGGACAAGGCGATTAAACACTTGGAAAAGCAATTGAAGTTGAATAAACGAAAGAGCAAATCTATCCCAAAGTCTTTCGTATCAGATGGATTAGATTGTATCCTTGATCATTTACTTGTTAGACATTTATTTATAAGATTATTAAAATTTTTTTATCCTGTATGGAGTTAAATAAAAAAGTGCAAGGTTTAGAAAAGAGGTAGAATGGAGAAAATGAGAAAGAGAGAGCACAAGAATACTTTGATCTTTTTTTGATTGCAGAAATGAATTAATCTTTATGCTGTAGATAACGAAGGACAATTGAAACAGAATAATAGGGCTAGATAAGATGCTAGAGCAAATGTATATGTAATAAGAGATAGATTTAGTGTAAATAATGTAAAGAGAAAAGTATAATATATGAGAATGTTGTATTGTGCAAAGTCGATGGTAACTTCAGGAAATTGAATAAAATCAATTATAATTGTGTTGTATGTTCTGTATGGCTCTTTCTCTTTTGTTTTCTAAATAATAAAGATTTGTAAGAATAATGAATTTATTCCAAACAAAATTTAAAATAGGCATTTAATTAACATATTATATGTGTATATAATATATGTATGTACGTATATTTCTCTTCAAGAAACGTATAGCTATATCATTTCTATATTTATATTAAAATACTACTAATTTTTACATGAAAGTTATTTTTATAAATTGTTAGGTCGTCTATATCTTTAATTTACATTTTCAAATTTATGCCAGAATTTTTTTGTTTAATCATTTATAGTTCCTTAACATTTGATTAGATCTCTTGGATTTCTGTGATTCGGAGAATAGAAGTCACATTGTTAAAACTGAGAAGCAATTGCAAGAAACTGAAGTGAGTAAAGAACTCGAAGAGGACTTGAACTTGGCTATTGGCGAGGAAGATATTGAGGATAGGCATGAAAATGACGAAGAAGATAGCATAGATGACAATGAAGATTCTGAACAAGATTCAGAAAATGAAAGTCTTTTGTCCGATCAACATTTAACTCAAGATAATAGCAAAGAAATTTCTTTAGAAGAGACAAATACAATAAACAAATCTAAAACTTATGCAACAGATGACGAAGATGAGACAGTGAATGAAGAGTTGAATCAGAGTGACGCATCAGAACAGTCAGATGATGAAGATTTATGGGAAGATATTTATGGTAGGCAAAGAGACAAAGAGGGTAACATTGTATCAAAGAAATATGTACCACCTGCTGGACGCATTGGAAGTAATATTTCTTCCGACGATGAAAAAGTTCGTAGATTGAAAAGACAAATGAAAGGTATTTTAAATAGATTAGCAGAGCAAAATATGCATACCATTGCAAATCAGGTAATTAGTTATTAACATGTATATGCGTTTAGTCAAATATATATAGAAATAATAATGACCTTATTTATATAAATACTTTTATTAGGAAGATTGTTATTTTTGATTGATAAAAATTTGTCTGAATATTTTCAATATAGGTAGAAGAAATGTATATGTCAAACAGTCGTAACGATATGAATGTAATGTTATCCAAACTAATGATGGAAAGTATAGTTGCACCAACATTAACTCCAGATCGACTTATCAGTGAACATATGATGTTAATCGCTGTATTACACGCAAATGTTGGTACGGAAGTTGGCGCACATTTTTTACTGACTATTGTAAAAAAGCTTCACCATATGTTGGAGGAATCTCATTGTGTTGAGAATAAGGAATTAGATAATATTATCCTTATGATTTCACATCTCTATAATTTCAAGGTAAAATATTAATGTTGCTTTTTGTGTTCTTGCAGAACATTTATGAGTCTGTCTTTTTCTAGGTATATGGTCATCGCCTTCTGTATCAAATATTAGAAAAACTAGCAGCAAAGTTCACAGAGAAGGAAATTGAACTGATTTTATTGATTTTAAGGACAGTGGGCTTTCAGTTAAGAAAAGATGATCCAATTGCTTTGAAGGAACTTATATTAAATTTGCAACAAAAGGCAAATAATGCTATCCTCGAAAAGTAGGTCTTATATTTTTAAATACTGTTTACGCACCAATACAGATATTCATTTCATTCTGAGTTACTTTTTCTAACTATTGCATGAATCCTTATTTACCTGCGTATTTTCATTTTTACGTTTTTAATCATATTACTATTATCTTTGTAGCTCGAGGGTCAAATTTATGTTAGATGTATTACTAGCAATAAAAAATAATAATGTGAACAAAATACCACAGTATGATCCAACTCAGATAGAACACTTGAAGAAAATTCTAAAGAGTTTTATCCATAAGGGTAATAACGTTGCACAATTTAATGTAACTTTAGAAGACTTACTACAAGGTATGAAAAGTAATACATGGAATACAAACGAAAAATATTGAAATATTATTCTTAAATAATAAAATTATATATTTTTTTCTATCTTTTTTTTAGCGGATGAAAGAGGAAAATGGTGGATAGTAGGATCAGCCTGGTCCGGTCTCAAGGATATTGGTAAATTAGAAAAGAATTCAGAAGACAAAAAACAAAAGTACAGTGAAGACATATTGGAGTTAGCACGAAAACAGAGAATGAATACTGATATCAGAAGAGATATATTTTGCGTACTTATGACAGCTGAAGATTATTTAGACGCATTTGAAAAAATTCATCACCTTGGTTTGAAAAATCAACAACAAAGGGAAATAATTTACGTTATCCTCAATTGTTGCATTCAAGAGAAAAAGTTCAATCCTTATTATGCTGTTTTGGCGCAAAGGCTCTGTGATACCGATAGAAAATATCAGGTACATAAATATAATTTTATATATAAAAAGTCTTGTCGAGTCTCTGTAATCTACATTGCGAAGAATTGCTCTTTAAATGGCCAGTTGTACTTTGAATTAGCTGAACGAAGAAATCAATCAGGAAATTAATCAGCGATAAGAAAATAATTTTTCTAACAACAACTTGGCTCTTAAAACAGAAATATGTGAGAAAACATTACTCTGTATCAGTGTGTCACGATTATTGTTTTTTTCGTTCACTTTATGTTGAGTAAAATTAATATTATTACAATTACATTATTTTCCGTTATTGATGAGAATACGGGAGTATCAAGTTCACTTGTGAATAATTTGCATATGGATTTCCGAGCGTAATAGTACATAATTATTTTGCTCTGTGTTCTATAATTATTAATAATGATTAATTGTTATAGTTAACTATACAATATGCATTGTGGGATAAATTAAAGGCATTGGATGATTTGAGTACAAAACAGTTAACAAATCTGGCAAAATTTTTGACTTCTCTATTCTTAGGCAAAGGTCTTCCTCTTTCCATTTTAAAGGTATAGAAATAATTATTTATTTTTTCTATAGTTATTTTCTCCTACACTGATGTTTGTTATTATGTGATATTTAACTTTTATTATTACATAATAATTACAGGTTATTCAATTTACGGAATTAGACAAGTTAACCATGAGGCTTGTACGACAAATCATGCTGGGAATATTATTACACGAGAATGAGGAGGCCTGTTTGGAAGTATTTGGAAGAATATCTTTATCTCCAAAGTTGCAAACTTTCAGAGAAAGTCTTAGATTATTTATAAATCATTTTCTTGTAAAAAATATTTGTGCTTCTGAAAACTTACAGGAACATAGTGAACTATTGAAGAACCGAGCGAGGTTGGTAGACAAACTTTTAAGTACACGAGAGTCAAAACTTATATTTTAACTGATTTTATAATAATTAATGCATATGTAAAACATTTTATATGTATATATTAGATATAAAATTTTAGATATGAAATATAAATGTAAAAAATATATTTGTGTTACTTATACCTTTTCTATCAAATATTTAATATTTAATATGAAAAGTTCGTAAACACAACTTGTATTTATTTTTGTAAGTACTGCCTAGCGACTCCGTGCAACCGGATGCATCAAGTTGATGAAGCCGTATGTAATCTTCACAATTGATCACTCCATTTTCCATTACAGTCCTATACAATTAACTATTAGATGTTACATCAGCGAAGACATGGGTGAGCCAAAATCTCAATATGAGCATAATTAATCTTACCCGACTGTGTTTAACCATATAACCTTGTACGTACTGTATAACCAGCGCAGTACACGTCCTTAACACATTTACGATAGGCTATAATTTAAAAAAAAAGAATTGATTATTACATACTTTTATTATATTATAATTGTGAAATTTGTATTTATTAGTCACTAAAGTTAAATAATATAAGCATGTAAACTATGGGCTGATTATATTAACGTTTGTTTAATGCTTATCGTCATATTTAAAGTACATATCTACATGATACGAAAATATCTATATAAAGTAAAATTAGTAGCAAAAATTTAACCAAATTACAATCAGAATTAATTGACATTATTAGAATCGATATTCATATATGATTCCACACACGTACGCTTTTTTAATACCTTTATTTCAAGAAACTAAAGTGAAAAGAAAATTTAAGTAATAACTGAAGAAAAACGTTTGTAACTAACATTCGAATTAAGTAATATCTTTGTGTCTTGTGCCAGTTTTCTATTCAAAATTTGCAGAGCTTGAGAGATATTAAAAAACAAAAAGAAAGCAAGTCCTGAATACTTTCGTGAAATTCGAGCGCGCCTTGCAGGAAAATTAGTATGCAATGTTTTTTGGGAATTCCGCTTTATTACAGCATATATATTATTATTAACCAAAATTTATTCTTATTTAAATTTTTACAATAAAAAATTTTATGCGTATTACGTAATTTAACGCGTATTACGAGTCAATAAAAGAGGGAATTCCGCTTTTCCTTATATATATTTACGCGATTGATAACCGATGGCAGTCTATTAATTAATGTGTTCTGTGTTCGTAATGCTTATTATTCATTACGTAGACAAGATATTTGAAATTCTCGTTTTGCGCCATCATATGAATGATATAATATCTATCTACTCTTGTCTCATGTTGTGATATCTCTAATTTTGTTTTCTTCTTGCAACTTCGTATTTTTCTGCTGTAAAGCTGATAACAAATGTTACTTTATACTATAGTTATTTAAATATACAGGGTATCTGATAATAAGTGTAACTCGCAGAAAGTAGGTAGAGTGGGTTAAACTAAATAGAAAGTAAAAAAATAATAAAAAAGGCAATACGAGCCAGACGCAGTAATTAGTGCGCAATATATTACATGAATAAGTAACTATAAAAATTAAATACGGACGTTTTGACCCTTTTTTTGGGTCATTTTCAGCGTGATATCATTAAATTTCACGTGAATTACAAAACGAAGTTTAACGCAGTCATACGAAATTAAAATTAGGTCGGGGATTAACGAAATCGTACGATAAATGGTCAAAATAAAAGTAACGACTTAACCGTTCTTTATTTGTTTGACTGCGTTAATTTTCGACCATTTATTGTACGACTGCGTTAATCCCCGACCTAATTTTAATTTCGTATGACTGCGTTAAACTTCGTTTTCTTTGTAATTCGCATGAAATTTAATGGTACCACGCTGAAAATAACCCAAAAAAGGGTCGAAACGTCCGTATTTAATTTGTGTAGTTACTTATTCATATATTGCGCACTAATTATTGCGCCTGGCTCGTATTGCCTTTTTTATTATTTTTTGACTTTCTATTTAGTTTAACCCACTCTACCTACTTTCTGCGAGTTACACTATTATCAGACACTCTGTATATTTATTAAATAACTATAGTATAAAGTAACATTTGTTATCAGCTTCACAGCAGAAAAATACGGAGTTGCAGGAAGAAAACAAAATTAGAGATATCACAACTTGAGACAAGAGTAGATAGATAGATATTATATCATTCATATAATGACGCAAAACGAGAATTTCAAATATCTTGTCTACGTAATGAATAATAAGCATTACGAACACAGAACACATCAATTAATAGACTGCCATCGGTTATCAAACGCGTAAATATATATAAGGAAAAGCGGAATTCCCTCTTTTATTGATTCGTAATACGCGTTAAATTACGTTAATACGCATAAAATTTTTTATTGTAAAAATTTAAATAAGAATAATTTTGATTAATAATAATATATGTGCTGTAATAAGCGGAATTCCCAAAAACGTTGCAGATATAATTGATACTAATTTCCCTATAAGGCGCGCTCGAATTTCGAAAGTATTCAGGACTTGCTTTCTTTTTGTTTTTAATATCTCTCAAGCTCTGCAAATTTTGAATAAAAAAATGGCACAAGACACAAAGATATTACTTAATTCGAATGTTAGTTACAAATGTTCTTCTTCAGTTATTACTTTAATTTTTCTTTTCACTTTAGTTTCTTAAAATAAAGATATTAAAAAAGCGTACGTGTGTGGAATCATACATGAATATCGATTCTAATAATGTCAATTAATTCTGACTGTAATTTGGTTAAATTTTTGCTACTAATTTTACTTTATATAAATATTTTCGTATCATGTAGATATGGAGGGGTAAAAGTCATAGTGGTGTAAATCAAATTTTTTTAAATTTTTTCTCGTGTGCATAGATACAATCTATACAATATATAAGTTACATCTATGCACACGAAAAAATATTTTTAAAAATTTAACTTACACCACTGTGGTTTTTACCCCTTTATATGTACTTTAAATATGACGATAAGTATTAAACAAACATTAATATAATCTGCCCATAGTTTGCATGCTTATATTATTTAACTTTAGTAACTAATAAATACAAATTTTATAATTATAATAATAAAAGTATATAATAATCGATTCTTTTTTCTTAAATTATAGCCTATCGTAAATGTGTTAAGGACGTGTACATATATATATATTTATATATATAAACACTGCATAAATTCAAATAATACATTAATTTTATTAATATTTAAATTTATATCTACAATTTATTTATGATTTCTATATCTGTATAATATTTTATATCACAAGAAAAAGAAAATTTTTTCACAAACATATGAACACAAGTCGACATTTAAAACACATATTCGCTCTTATTTAAAAATCTTTCTGAACGAATTTAATCCCTGTTTCCAAAATTTCGTACTTTTACTTTAGATATTTTAACAATGATAAAACTTTTATTTTTTGGACATCTAAAACGGTTTTTCCTCTTGTCTTTCTGTCTTCATATCTTCGCCATTTATTTTCATCTTAATTTATGCGGTTGCTATCGCTTTGTATAAGAAAATGATCGTCGAGAAGAGGTCGAAAGAGCGGATTACTTATAGCATCAGTCGACCAACACAGTGCGTTAATAAACATTGCTCCTTGTGAATCAGCAGCAACACATTTTTAAAATGTTTGCTAAAATTTTGTGGGTCTTTGTGACAGTGATCGTGCTATTTGGCGTTTACACTTACGGTGAGATGTTTTTCCATTTTTTAACAAAAGTGAGATTTATAATACACGACTTATTTTCACACGTATAAAACTTGTAAAAATATTACTACTATATTCTCAATGGCTACAAGTTTTATTTCCACGTTATGATTTGTAAATAATAATGTACTTGAAAATTGGAAAAATTGATAATTTGAAAAAATATTGATTCAAGACTCGTTAAAAACCGAAGTATGTTACAAATGGAATGTTTTATCCTAAAATACTTTCTATCAGTGTACGAAAATAGAATTGGAATCAAATACATATAAATCACCATAATTTTTAACAATAAAATAATAAAGGAAAACATAATAATACTAAAACTTGTCTTGATTTGGAAGAACAGAATTTACTTTGGAAAATAACTGCTTATATTTTTCACAATTTCCGTTTTGTTTTTTTTCTATGTATAATGCGCTTTCAAAATTTAAGCAGTATTTCATTAAACTTTGTGCGAAGTAGAAATTTTGCATTAATCTTCAATTGATTTGAAAAACAGAGATCCGATTGCATCCGGCTATCGCTAGTGTGTCATGAATTTTTATCAACCGCGTATATGTATCATCATAACAGTTTGTATCTCACAGCGTTTTTTTTAAATATTTATGATTCCATGACTGCGTTTCTGACTGTTATGCGATTTCCAACCAATTTAAAGATTTACCTATTTCATATGTAAAATCAAATTTTT